CAAAAACAAAATACACGTACATAGTGCATGTGTTGTTGCTAGATTTTTCTTAGAATTTACTCAACTTCACCGGTGATTTTCGTTGTCGATGTAGCTGTTGTGCTCCCGTTAAAAAATATCGTGGCCACCGCTGCATTACAATAAACAAGCAAGCGAGTCAGCAGTTGATTTGCCTTCTGCTTATTTATGACTACCTGGTAGGTTTCTCGTAGTTTTCGATGATTTTTGATGCCAAATTGAACTACGTTTTTCAAGTACACCAATAGCACGGTAACAGGCGCACATAAACGCACAGCAAGTAGACCAGCTGGCGAAATTGAAATTATGTATGTAAACAAAAATCAGCTGTGGTATGAAGATGCGTGCATGAACCTAACAGTATAATCTGGAATGTAAACAAACTTGGTCCTCTCCTTTTGGTCAGGCGAACGAACACAAAGATAAAATGCCAGCTGTTCGCTTAAAAACGTTTTGCTATTTTCATTCATTTGTCTGTGAACATTTATTCGTTTGCGACCTAGCGTGTCAAAATAATCGATATTGTCTGAACCTGTCAGATTTTGCAAAAAATAAAATCGATTAATCGTAAAGCTGAACAATATTAATTATAGCCTGTACCCAAAGGGTGAAAGGCTATACTAGTTTTGTGCGCATGTATGTAACACACAGAATGAGGCGTGGCAAACCCCGCAAAGTATATATATATATTCTTGATCAAATCATCATCATGATAGGTCAATTCTGAACAAAGTTATAGCCATAAATAAAATCGCTGCTCATGCGCTGCCTCTGTCGGCAGCGCTGCCCGCAGCTGTTGTTGTTGTTGCTGCTTTGGTTCAACGTTGTGCTGCATACATAAACGCATATAAACACGCATAGGTACGTGATGTAAATGTATGCTGTTTTAACTGAACATAAACATGTATTCTAATTTAATTAAATTAATTATTTTAATTAATTCATTCATTCATTTTTTTAATAATTTAATTTTTTTTTAAATTTTATTGTTTGTTTAATTTTTTCATTTTTGTGGAGAGTACAGGCTATTTTACTGTCGGGCTTGCTCGACTGTAGCGTTCTATCTTGTTTTTTTAATAATTTAATTTATTTTTTAATTTTTTCTTTTTTAATTTTCCTTTTTTGTGAAGAGTACAGGCTATTTTACTGTCGGGCTTGCTCGACTGTAGCGTTCTCTCTTGTTTTTATTGTCGTTTTCGAGAGGATCAGACAATTCCACTGACATTTTAAAGTAATAATGTGCTAATTCACGTATGCATTTCACTTTATACGATCAATCGACTCTCCAAAAACAAAAATGTTAAACATCGATTAAATAAATCGAGCCACGATGATTCACTTCTATCGCCTGTCGCCGTGAATGAATGTTTAAATTTTAATAAAATTTTGCACTAAGTTTGACCAATTTTTTGGTGAATCTCACAAAATGAGCTATTTTCATTTTTGATATTTTGGTGATCTTTCAAACGGACGGTATTCGTATATTTTTTGTATCACAATTACTTCTTTCAAAAATACTGAAAGCATATGTGCGGCTATAGTTATGCACCATAGTATTAATGTCAAACGGTGCATGGCAAATAAAATAACAAATAGAGAAGCTAAAGTAAGGTGTAGAATAAGTATGCGTGTATGTGTGGGTTTGTGAGTGCCTGTGTATGTCTCCTGTACCTGGGCAAAGCAGTAACAATAACAACAGCTGCAGGCACTGCTTAGTCATACATACATATATACAGATGTGTTCAATGCAATAGCAGTGCCGGACCTCACCTCTTTCAAAACTCTTTTCGAGACACTTCCAGGCATCCAAATTAAACAACCGATAACTTTTTAGAATGGTTGGAATGAAAGCATTATAAAACCGAAAAAATCCCGTTACATTTAAACGCCTTCTTGTTTTTCATGATTTTATATACAAACAAAACTAATCTTCATTATTCATGTTCTACATGTTTATTAGAGCTTAATATTGATTTGTGAATCCTTTGTTATTCAATACAGCCGACGGGGCATGGAATTAATGAGATCCTGGCAACGGTTCATAGGGATTCGGGCCTGTGCCTCTTGAACTTGAAGAATTTGCTGTTTTTACTATTCCTTTAACATCTCCCCACAAATTTTCGATTTGATTTAGATCCGGAGACTTCCCTGGCCATCGCATTACGTCGATCTTCTCAAACGCAAACCAGGCGAGTTTGGCGAGCTTACTACTGTGTTTTGGATAATTGTCCTGTTGAAATGTCCTCTTTGAAGGCATTTTATAATATGGTAACAACATGTAACATATGATAACAATGTATTCTTGCATATTTCCACATCCACGGTTTTGTCCATGATGCCATTAATCATATGAATAGGACCGACACCAGTATTTGAAAAACAAACCCTTACCATAATGCTCAGACCACCATGTTTAACTGTCTTTTTGAGGTATCTTGGCTTGTGTTCTGTGTTTGATGGAAGACAAACATATACGTCTATTCTCTAAAACAGTCGGTTTAAGCTCACAACCTCGATTCTGTGCCTTGTTTTTATAGTTGATAGCATTGAATACCAGAGTGGCACTGTATGGATCTATATTTATACCCTGTACCCGTAGGGTAAAAATTGTATATTAGGTTTGTGCAAAGTATGTAACATGCAGAAGAAAGCATCTCCGATACCATAAAGTATATATATTCTGAATCATCATGACGAGAGAAATCGATCTAGACATGTCCGTCCGCCCGTCTGGATGAACGCAAGGATCTCAGAAACTATAAAAGCTGGAACAAGCAAAGTTGGTATCCAGATTCTCCTAGGTCCGAGAAATGACGTTTATTTTATTTTTTTTAATTTTTGCGTCTGCTATGGGCGCATATACCTCAGTGTCGAAAGTTTACCTGGGTACAGGGTATTTCACTGTCGGGCTTGCTCGACTGTAGCGTTCTCTCTTGTTTTAATCTGTTTATATGTTTTACCATAATTTTGTAAGCTGACTATCAGGTTTCTTTTCTTAACCGAGTAATGTTTTCTTCCACCCACTAAAAATAAAATTAACGTAATTTCCCAAAAATGTTCTTCATTAAAATAATTAATAACTAAAGCGTACTTACTTATTGCGTCTTTACTTTCTAGCAGGTATTGCCCGTCTTAACCCGACTCAATATAATGTTTCAAATTGTATTTATTTTGTGTGTGCATGGCCTACCCATATATTTTCATCTAATTAATTACCAGTAGGAGGGCATTTAAGATATCGAAATGAACATTTTCTGTTCTTGACAAAAAATGTTTCATTATTCCGTTACATTTTTGTTCTTGCCAAAATATTTCGTTAAACATACACACACATGACCACTATATCTACCCTGTACCCAAAGGGTACAAGGGTATATTAGTTTTGTGCGAGTGCACATGGAACACACAGAAGGAGGCTTGGTAGACCCCACAAAGTATATATATTCTTGATCAGCATGACAAGCCGAGTCGATATAGCCATGTCCGTCTGTCCGTCTGTCTGTATGAACGCAAGGATCTCCGAAAGTATAAGAGCTAGAATAACCAAACTTGGTATACAGATTCTCCTGAGACCGAGAAAGGACGAGTTTGTTCATTTTTTCTGATCCACCCCCCCCCCCCCCCCCCCACTCCCCCCCTATTAACGATTTTCTATAACTCCCGTAATTCTTGGAATTTTGAAATAAAATTTGGTAGACACATCCAGTTAGTGATTATATATCCGTATACCAAGTTTCATTATGATAGAAAGAAAGTTGTGGCCATATAACCAGGCCCAATGCACACATACATACATATGTACAAGTACACAAACACGCATAAGGCACGATTCTGATGCAAATGTAAATGTATGTATGCATGCATGGAATATTTTATAATAAATTTAGTTAATTAATTAAATTAATTTAGTTAATTAATTTAATTAATTTAATTACTTTTTGTGGGGTGGTACAGGGTATTTAAGAGTTGAGCCTGCTCGACTTTAGCATTCCTTTCTTGTTTAAGCTCGTTTCCCCCCTTTGGAGCTCGAATTTTCCAAAAGCCTTAGTGCGCACGTACTCTGTGATGGATACTATGAAAGGATACTTAAGTCCAAATTTCAGCTGCTGCTTTGGCTATTTCAATCGTTTGCACACGACTACATGAACAGCTGCTTGTATGTGTGTATATATATGTATGTATACTAAGTTGTCCCCAACTGTTTGATATGTATTTTATGTTGTTTGTTTTACCTGGCTTTGTAAAGTGAACCCCGTATTTCCATAATTTGAATTTGAAATCCTTGAATGCAAAGTTGTAGATTTAGTTACGTAGATTACATTACCCAATTTTGAAATCGATCGGAAAAAATTTATAACACAAATTTTTCATTTGAAAAAGTGAATAAATATTAAAACCCCACTAATTCAAATATAATCACTTTAAAAAAACCGAGTATGCAGTTTTTTTTGCATTTTTTTTACATATTTTAAAAACCAAATTTGAAGTTGATAGGTGGAAAAATGCGGATTTTTCGAACAAACTTTGGAGCTAATTTTCTCTAACTTGGAGCTCGAATTTACCAAAATCCTTTCTTATTTGGGCTGTGGGGTTGTGATCTTTGGAGCCCGTTTTCCCCCATTGGCGTTCGAATTTCCCAAAATCGCTTCTTAGTACTCACCTACCCCATAAAAGACAACTTTTGTCCAAATTTCAGTTTCCTAGCTCTTACCGCTTAAGCTGTGCGTTGATTGCGAATCAGTCAAGTCAGTGAATCAGTCAGTCAGCACTACTATTTCAATGAACAGCATATTTTGTGGGTACAAGATTTACAAAAAGCATTTGATGGCACAGGGAACAAACGAAAACGTGTTAGGGCTAAAACGATTAATACTAAGTTTGGTTTTTCCAAGATCCTTGCACTTGTAAAAAATATATAAACTATTATACCCGACTTTTAATGTTACTAATTATTTGCATTATTTGTTGTACTTTTTTTTTAGATATAGATCGTGTGCGTTAAAGGAACACTTCACTTGGACGCACCGCACTCTACAGAAACATCGTCTTATAGACAAAAAAGTATAAATCCACAGACATGGCTAACACAATTTCCATTATGTCCAACGCAATACGTAACGCAGTGAGCAAAAAGCGAATTCGATATAAAGAAAAAGGATTTAACTTGGACCTAACATGTAAGATTTATTACATATAATTAGTTACCTTTTTAGTATTTGTAGTAATAAAATGCGAGCAGTTGTTTGGAAAAAGATAGCGAAATTCCTCCCAATCTTATCGGCATTATCCATGGGACAGGTCTGTGGAATAGTCTAAAGCGCAACACAATGGTCCAAAATGTTGGGCTAAGTGAGTCAGGAGTATACCCCTGACTACCGCGCCAACCCAACCTAACCCAGGGCCAAATTGTAGTACAAGAATGCAAAAATATGAGTATTTCAGAAATTTCATCATTCACCCCATTCCCCCGCAATTAGTAATTTTCCATAACGTAATCCTTGGAATTTTTGATTCGCATTTGTGTCCGTATGCCAAATTCCATCTTGATAGCTTCATTTGAAAAGAAGTTATAGATATAAATGTTATCTATGCCCACAGCTGTTGTTCTTGCTGTTTTGGCTCAGTTCTGTACTGCATACATGTTCACAAGCATACATACAATTCCTATGTAAATACGCAGTTATACACGCTTTACATGAGTTCGAATACCAAAGGAGATAAAATCAATCGAGTATTTAAAAGTCGGGACACCCGACATTAGCTTTTCCACTTGTATTAACAACAAATTGGACGGCACGTTGGCTGTCCAATATTTGTATCATTCAACTTGTGCGAAACAAAGCAAGAACCATATTCAATTTTTCAATGAAAAAACGATAAATTGTTGATGTTGATATATTTAATTCCATTGTAATTATTTTAACCTAAGATTTAGACCGGTTTTTATACCGTGTACCCAAAGGGTAAAGGGGTATACTAGTTTAGTGCGAATGTATGTAAGGGCGCTTGGCAGACCCCTAAACGTACATATATTATTGATCAATATGACGAGTCGATGTAGCTATGTATGTCCGTCTGTATAAACGAAAGGATCTCACAAGATACAAGAGCTGGAATTACGAAACTTGGTATCCAGGTTCCCCTAAGCCCTAGGCATATCAAGTTTGTTCATTTTTTTTATGCATCCCCCAATCCCCCGCTAATCGTGTTTTTTTTATTTCATAACTCCCGTAATTCTTGAAATTTGGCAATTACATCCAGTTTGTGATTATGTATCCGTATGCCAAGTTTCATCATGATAGGTCGATTCTGAAGACAGTTATAGCCATAAATATGTTATGTATTGAATAATTTGTATTTAATTTAATTTTTTAAATTAATTGAAAACATTTTTTCCCCATTTTTTCTTTTTTTTTTGTGGGAGGTACAGGGTATTTAAGAGTTTAGCTCGCTCGCGCATTCCTATCTTGTTTAAAATGAATTTTCGATCATTTCGAATTTTTTATGGTCAAATATTTAAGAATTATCGCCCCGGCAGGAGAAACTTGCTGTTGGCCTTGATATATAGGCCATAAGTTACTTCTCCGGACTTGAGGCTAGAATAAGCATTTGGTTTGTAAACCGTGTAAAAAGACATTAATCATACATATACACAAATTAGGTGTACAAAGTGAAATAAAGCCGTATACGCCTAATTCTGTTTTTACACGGTAGATTGTATAATTGCACAATGTTAGTTCTAGTTCTAGCACAAGTTATGTTTAAATTTAATAATTTTTCAACCCAAGACAGATCTTTAGTAAAGAATAACACGAAATCATGAAAGGAATGCTAAAGTCGAGCGAGCTCAATTCTGTACCTCCCGCCAAAAAGGAAAAAACGAAAAAAAATTTAATTAATTTTAAATTTATATTAATTAAATTAAATTAATTAATAAATTAAATTATTAAATACTAATTATTTTATACATATATACAAAAGTGGAGACATGTTCATGTACAGTTTCAACAGTAAACATTTTCATCAGAAGCGTCTTTATATGCAGCACAATGTCCTTGCGCATACAGACGGACATGGCTATATCGACTCGGCTTGTCACTCTGATCAAAAATATATATTCTTTGTGGCGTCTGCGACGCCTCCTTTTGCCTGTTTTCTTTATTTAATAAGTTTTTATCCATCTTTAACATTCCTTATAAATAAATACGCATATGTATATTTACTTTCAGACATTTGTCCTAATATAATTGCCATGGGATATCCAGCAGAAGATATGTTCGAAGGAATGTACAGAAATCGTCTGGAAGATGTTTTGAAATTTTTAGAGGAGAACCATGCTGAACACTACAAAATATATAATCTATGTCTTGAACGCTCCGATGCGTACGATGTAAATAAATTTCACGGGGTACATGTTTATATATATATATATATATATTTGTGTTTATTTTAAATATTTTCAATTATTTCAGAGAGTTGCAATTTACCCCTTTGAAGATCATAACCCTCCCCCAATCGAGCTTATACAAAGGTTTTGTCACGACGTAGATTCATGGCTTAAGGCGGATGAGCTAAATGTAGTTGCTGTACACTGCAAGGCGGGTAAAGGAAGGACTGGTAAGTAAGAGTTTACGAATTGTGTATTTATTATTATAAATCAATTCAATGGAAATACTATCTAGTTCGAATATATGAACACAAGAAGGCTTGGAAGAACATACATAGTTATTATATTCTTTATAATTATCATAAGATATATTTATATATATATATATATATATATATATATATATATATATATATATTTATATATATATATTTATATATATATATAGCATTTGTATTGTGTTTTTCTATTTTGAGGAAAGGGCTGGCTTTAGATGCTTTGGTGTTTCAATTAGAATGCAGCAGGAGGGAACTGTTAAAATTTACAGTTAGCTTTTAATGATTAACAGTTATCAATTATCACTATTTTGCTTTTGACTATGCCAAAAACACACCATTTTTGCCATGCACTTGAATAGGGAGCATTCTTTATAAACCTGCAATAAATCTTCTTCTTCGATCCATGATACTCGAAAGAGCTTTCATCTGTCCACAACACTTTTTCCCAAAACGATTGTGACTTGTTTATATAGGATTTGGCGAATGTTAACCTTTTAAGCTTATTTTTTGGTGAAATTAAGGGGATTGGTCGAGAGCTATATAAGTAAAAAAAACCGGCCTCCTTCAGCCGTCTTTCGACTGTTTTTCTACTTATTTCTATTTTATGGTGCTCTTTGAGCTCAATTGATACTGCTTTTGGTGTAAAAAGCACATTTTCTTTAAATTTTCTCAAGATTATTCGGTCTTCTATAGGCTTTGTTTTCCTTGGTCTTCCCGATCTGGCCTTATTTTTCAGTGAATTATTCTCTTTTTTTTTGTTAATTTGGTAATAAATTGTTTGTCTTGGTACATTGTATAATTTGCTAAGGTATTCTACAGAAATACCTGCATTATACTTAATGACCATTTCATTTCTTATAAGTTCAGTTATTTCACGTGTTTTACATAATTTACAAAAAAAAGCAATCAATCAGTGATTATTATTAATAAAAACAAGCAAAATCACTTTAAAAATTAGAACACGTGCTTTGCATCGCAAGCAAATCAACGAAACTGAATATAAAAGGCAATGTCAAAATACTTTTGTCCAGCCAAAGAATAATTATAGAAAAAGAACGCAATATGTTATCAGTGCAATCTTTTGCTCTCTTAAAGCTTTTAATATAGTCTCTCTCTTAAAAATTGAATGGATACCGTTACTTCTCTCAGTTTGCAGAAATAAGCTGTTTTAGATTTTGATACTTTTTTCCACCTTTGTATTTTAATAAAATACAACCTTCTGTGTTCATAGTTGCACACACACTAAAGTTATCTTCTTTGTCCCTATTCAAGTGCATGGCAAAAACTGTGTGTTTTTAGCATTGTCAAAAGCAAAACAGTGATAGTCCATAGCGGTTAATTATTAAAAGCTAACTGTAAATTTGTACAGTTCCCTGATGCTGCATTCTAAGTGAAACACCAAAGCATTTGAAGGTAGCCCTTTGCCAAAAAAAGAGAAAAACACAATACAAATGCTAGAAAATCTTGTCCCTATTCAAGTGCATGGCAGTGTATATGTCAACAAACTTTGACTGTCGACATAACAATTAAAAGTTATAACAAGAGAGAACGCTACAGTCGAGCAAGCCCGACAGAGTAATACCCTGTACCCAGGTAAACTTCCGTCACTGGGTTATATGCGCCCATAGCAGCAGCAAAAAGAGGAAGAAGAAGAGCGAACTTGTTGCTGCAGTTTGTGGGGGTTGTACTGGCGAGAATTTGTTTCGCTAATAACTTTTCTTAGAATTGACCGAATTTGATAAAACAACATTACATTACATGATTAAACAACAGTAGATAATTATATAGAAATTATGTGTGCAAAGTTTGGTTTAGGTAGCATTTGAAATGTGGACGCTATTGACGAAATTCTGTAGCGGGGGAAGGGGGGGAAAATTAAAAAAAAAATAAATAAACTCGTCCTTACTCGGACCTAGGAGAATCTGGATGCCAACTTTGGTTATTCTAGCTTTTATAGTTTCTGGGATCCTTGCGTTCATCCAGACGGACGGACAGACGGACGGACATGTCTAGATCGATTTCTCTCGTCATGCTGATCAAGAATATATATACTTTATGGGGTCGGAGATGCTTCCTTCTGTATGTTACATACTTTGCACAAACCTAATATACCCTTTTTACCCTACGGGTACAGGGTATAAAAAGCCTTAAAAGCGGGGAAATCCTAAGTTTTAGAAATCTAATAATATTACAATAATATCTAATATACGCCTCCAAATCGATGGGGGAATATTTGCCTTTCGGCTAGGTGTACCCCGACTCACAACCAAGTGAAAAGAAAAAACAGTCACCACATGTTTTCCTTCGCAAATTGAAGCCGTATTACTTTGTGATTCAGAGGGGGCTTTTACTTGATTTTTAGACACTTCAGGTGTTCTACATTTTTGATTGTACGCTGAATATTTGATAGGCTTGCTTTTACTACTGCTAATTCCTTAATCTTAGCTGCTGATTTAGTCGAATTGGAAGCAATTCTAACGATTTTGCGTTCTGTTTGTTCAGTTAGCGCTTTTGTTTCGTTTGAAGTGTTCTCCATCCCTCTGGATATTTTAAATATCTATCAACAGTACGCTTTATCTCTTTGCCAATGTTTCGATTAGATAGTCCTTGCGGGTGAAAAAAAAAATATTTTTTGGCGTTCCAATAAGCTCAAAACAGTAGCTTTTCCCATTTTTGCCTTAAATATAGCTCGAAAACAATTGATTTGTTTATTTCATTATTTTTTCAGTCAAAATAACTGCGTCTATTTCAATGACCAATCGAAAACCCACGTGATTGCATAGACATTTGTAGAGTATTCGAATACATGTTATGTCTTTCGCAAAACAACCAGCTAAAGGTACCCATTTTTCAAACAAGATTTGAACTTTGATAAGAAAAACATTTTGGACCATTAGAACATGCGTAATTGTAAATAGAACAGTTTATTTAAAAAAGAAGTTGGTGCGTCTAGCCTAAGACAAGCAGTGTATGTACACTGTTAGTGCTTATGTAAGCACTAACTGGATGTAACTACCAAAATTTATTTCAAAATACCAAGAATTACGAAAGTTATAAAAAATGGGTGAAAGGCTATACTAGTTTTGTGCGAAGGTATGTAACAGGCAGAAGGAAGCGTGGCAGACCCAACAAAGTATATATTATTAATCAGGGTGACAGCCATGTCCGTCTGGACGAGCGCAAGGATCCCAGGAAGTACAAGACCTAGAATAACCAAACTTGGTATCGAGGTTACCCTAAGTCCTAGGCAGGTCAAGTTTATTTTTTTATTCTGATATTCTGATCGAAACGCACGGTTTGTTCCGCACAAATTGACTGACGACCAAAAATTGCTCAGAATCCAACATTTGAAGGACATCATTAAAGAGGTCAAAAAGGACAAAATCTTCCTTTACAATATTGTGACTGGTGACGAAAAGTGGTGTTTCCAATATGATCCCGAAACGAGAGTGCTGAATGGAAGGCACCGGACGAGCCGAAACCCAAAAAATCGCGCATGGAAAAGTCTTAAGTGAAGACAATGTTTTGTTCTTATGTCCACAAAGAATTTGTTCCACCCGGCCAATAATGCGCCGTCTCATTGGTCGACGCTTGTGACCGATTATTTGACCAAAAATCACATTTTAACCATTAACCACTCGCCGTATTCACCTAATATGGCACCGTGCGACTTCTACCTTTTCGGAAAAATGCATTTGCCCATGAAAGGAAAGCGTTATGCAGACGTAGAGGCCATTCAAAAGGCTTGCCCCGGCATACAGGCGGCTATACCGGCCAACGAGCTAAAACACTCGTTCGACATGCTTTTGGATCGTGCAAAAAGCTGTATTGAAGCAGAAGAGACTATTTTGAATAAAACACTCGTTGGATCGTGCAAAAAGCTGTATTGAAGCAGAAGAGACTATTTTGAATAAAATAAATTGATTTTGCCGGAAAAAACCCTTCTTTTAAAAAAAAAAAAAAGTCTTTACTTTGGAACACATACATTTTCTTTTATTAATTTAATTAATTAATTCCATTTTTTTTTAATAATTTAATTTTTTTTAAATATATATATATATTTGTTAAATATATATTTTTTCCCCCTTTTTTGTGGAGTACAGGCTATTTTACCTTCGGGCTTGTTCGACTGTAGCGTTCTCTATTGTTTAGTGCAATATTTTTTATATTTTATTTTTTTAGATCTTTGTTTGGATAAAACAAGTAGAGAAGCTAAAGTCAGCCTATCATTATGAAACTTGGCATACGGACCCATAATCATTAACTGGGCAGATTTGTCTAAATTTGGTGCCTCTAGCTCTTATAGTCTCTGAGATCCAGGTGTTCATACGGACAGACAGACAGAGGTAAATCGACTTGTCTTGTCATGCTGATCAAGAATATATATACTTTGTGGGGTCTGCCTAATATAGTCTTGTACATATTAATGGTTTGGGGAGCGTGGACTGCTTGGAGGTGGCATTTCCAAGTATTTTGCCTTATTAAGTCGACCACACGTTCATTATTATGACGCACTATTTTGCTTTGAAATGGAACTAAGTTGGATTTTTGTACTCTGTACATGAATACGCCCTTGGAATCGCATATACCCGTAGCTTTAACAAGAAATTTTTGCTAATGTCGAGGAGGCTCAACTCTTAAATAATAATAAAAAAAAATTAATTTATAAAAATTATATAAATTAAATTAAATACAAATTTTATTTATATATTTATATACAGCTTAAAGGTAATTAAAATTACATATAAGATATGGTCTAAGCTATAGCGACGTCGCCTTAAGCTTAACTTAAAAATAATATGAATTGTGATAATTAATTAGTTTTATATATATGTGTATTATTGAGGTAGGAGAACATGTTATTACTTTTGGCAGGGTGCTTGTGGGTTAAGCTAGTGTGACCCAGGCGGAGTCGTACGAGTTTTGAGTAATCGTGCCTGTTCAGTTCAAGA